CCATGTAAGAAGGTGGGGGTGCTGTGGCACATGCTGTATCTCAGTTACTCAGGGGGCTGAGGCAAAAGGACAGTAAGTTTGAGAACAGCCTGGGCAATTTGGAAGATCATCTCAAAATATTTAAAAAAAAAAAAAATTAAAGGGCTGGGGATATAGCTCAGTGGGAGAGTTCTTCTGGGTTCAATCCCCAATACTGCAGAAAATAAAGAGAACCAGAGACTGACAAGCACATGCACACTCCCTGTCCCTTTGTGTCTCCAGGCCAAATCGGGACTCTGCCAGTGAAGCCGAATTAGATAGGAAGATAGGCAAGGGTGAATCCAGAGAATAGATGAATTGAAATGTTAATTCCCTCAGAGGCCTTCCTCCACCCTTATCAAGATTACCTGCCCCAGCTCCAACCTGTTACTAAGGTAACCTGTCTCAGGGTTTGTCACTGTCTCCAGGGAGTTGTAGATTATGCCCCCTTCCTGCCCAGATCACTCCAACTTGGCCCCTCCAGCCCATCTGTTTCTCCTGGGCCTCATCACAGGAGGGAGAGATAAGGGCTAGAGAGCAAGAGAACAAAGGAACCAAGGACAGCAAAACACCCCCGCGTCTAGGGATACCAGGAGACCAGCTATGGCCCCCTTCGCCTCCCAGGAGAAGTCTGTGTCACCCCCTTTATAAACCCTGCTTTATCTGCTTGCCCAGCGCGTGCTTCTCTGATGTTATACTTCAACAGGTCAGGGAGCAGGGAGCACCAATAACCGGTGGATCACCAGCGTGAAAGCCATCACCAGATGCCCTTGACCTTTCACCTTCAGAACTGGAACCAAAATAGCCTCTTTCTTTTCTTTTTGAAGAAAGAAGGAGGTCAGAGGGGAGAGAGACAGAGACAGAGAGAGAGAGAGAGAGAGAGAGAGAGAAATAGGTAGGTCTATTTCCTTTATTCCAGGTCAGTTGAACTGAACATGTGGAAAAGAGCTCCTGAGTTCAGAGATCAGTCTAGCATACATTCACAATAAATCAAGGAAATGATGGCTTTTCTTTTTTTATTATTTCATTACATTTCTTATTTTGGAATTACATGTTTTGAAGGACTGAAAATTATGGGAGGTAAGTGATTTTTACACCTTTTCTTGCTGTCACTTGAAGTGGAATTTTAGTGAAAATTAGTGGAGGGTGGGTTTTTGGATCCTACTAGGGCCCAAGTGGGTGGAATTTTGGAATGAAGACGGGGCATTTGGGAAAAGGTCCGCCTGGAGGTGTCCAGTGTTATCAACCCCCTGGCTTCTGTGCTATCAGGAGAATCACAGGTGAGACAGGAACAAGAGTCTTTACTGCTATGTTCAAGCAGCAGGGAGGCAGCAGGGAGCAGGCGGAAATCCCAGGCTGACTCTAGCAAAGGACAGAGAGGCAAAGCTGTTACAGCGTCTGCCGCTGGGTGGGACCCGCCGCTCTCTTCCTGTCATCCCTCCTCTCTTTTCCCTCCTGTCTCTTTAGGTTTCATTGCCATCTCAGGTCTCCACCTTGGGGTGTGATTTTTGCTATGCTAACAAAGTAAAGGTAACAGTGACATCTTGTGCCTTCCCACCTGCAATTTCCCCCTTCTTATCTGGGACAGTTCTTAATATGTTACAACAGGGCAGACTATCATCTTGCCTCGTGATTTTATTTTAATGTTCTTGTTTTCCTTGGCTCTTGTTGTTTCTTGCCATCTCTGCTGACCACAGTCGTAGAAGGCTGCGTTGATTTTCTAACCTCTCATCTCTGAGTGTATTATTTTAATTTCACAGCTGTTAGTCAGCTTTTTTTGTTGCTGTGACCCAAATACTTGAAAAGAACACTGAGAGGAGCATATATTTATTTTGGCTAATATTTCGGCCCACGGATGGCTGGTTACATTTTTTGGACCTGGAGTGACACAGAACATCCTGGCAGAAGGCATGACACAGGAAAGCAGCTCAGCTCAGGGGGTAAAGACAGAAGAGAGGGAGAGAGAAAGGGAGGAAAGGGCCGGGGACAAGATATAGTCCCCAAAGTCATGCCCCCAGCCCCAGTTAACTACTTCTTCCAACCATGCCCCATCTGCCCATAGTTCTCCCAGGAGTCCATTCAGTGTTAAGGCACTGATGAGGTCAGAGCCCTCGTGGGCTCATTCGTCCACTGAAGGGCATCTAGGTTAGCCCCACAGTTTAGCTATTCTGAATTGTGCTGCTATAAACATTGATGTGGCTGTGTCCCTGGAGTATGCTGTTTTTAAGTCCTATGTCTTTTAATTCCATAAGACTGTCTTATTAGGACTTGAGGGGTAATTGTAATTATTTAGTGAAAATTAGTGGAGGGTAGGTTTTTAGATTCTACTGGGGCCCAAGTGGGTGGAATTTGGGAATGAAGACAGGGGCTTATAGTGATGGAAAAGTAAGCAGAAAATACAAAGAAAATATTCAAATTTTGTCAGAAGACCACTAAAAATGAGTTGTCTTACACATGTACAGATTAAATTCCCATGTTGTTAAAAAAAAAATTTTTTCTTTTAATAATAATTTCCAGCAATCTTTGATAGTAGTATCTTTGCCAAAAGTTTGAGGATGGAAATTTTCCAGATTAAAAAAATATAAATACTGGGCTGGGGTTGTGGCTCAGCGGTGGAGCACTTGCCTGGTTTCTTGCCATCTCTGCTGACCACAGTCGTAGAAGGCTGCATTGATTTTCTAACCTCTCATCTCTGAGTGTATTATTTTAATTTCACAGCTGTTAGTCAGCTTTTTTGTTGCTGTGACCCAAATACTTGAAAAGAACACTGAGAGGAGCATATATTTATTTTGGCTCCCTTTTATTTCTTTCTTCTTCCCGTGGTCCCTGTCCTCTCTGCGTCCTGTTCAGTAAAATATGGGTTGTTTGTCATTGCTTTTGATTCACATGTATTTCTGTCAAGTAATATGGGTTAAGTATGAACCCAATCCAGAACTTTAGAACCAAGGCCAGGTAGATGAATAAATGCAGACTCAAAGACTCTTTTCATACACTCTGTTGAATATTACAATATTGTAGAATGCAATGTTCAATCCTCAACACCATATAAAAATGAAAGATGGAGGTGTTGTGTCCAACTACAACTAAAATATACAATACACACACACATACACACACACACACACACACACTAGAATTATTAGCAATAAGTACTGGAAATATTCTAGGATTGCTGTATAAATAATTTGTGATAATTTAGAAAAAGTTTAATGGTGAGTAGGATCCAAAGTAGGTTCACTAAAACAAGTCATGCATTTTGGGGAGGTTAAATTATTATATATTTGAGTAATGTCATAAGTAAAGTAAATAATGTGTATAATAATAATAATAAAGTAGAATAACAACTCTTTTGTAAAATAAAAAAATTTTTTAACTCTTGGGAAAATGTAGAATATTTCATATCTTGAAAAACGTATATTGTTCATGATTTTTGTAAACTTTTTTGATTTGTAAAAATATCCATGTAATTCTCTCTTTGCCTATGAATTCTCTTTTGTGCGTATGATTTTTTTTTCTGTTGGCCATTACAAACAATTGCGGATTATTATAAAGGAATATGTTAAAATTAACAAGAAGTCTTCATGCATACACAAAATGTCTGGAGCTAGACAAGTTGATTGTACACATCTCATGGAAGAGTATTCAGAAAGAATGGCCAAGGAAACACTTCGAGAAAAGAAAGGAAGGGCACCAACAGGAAGTGCTTCCCGGCATATGGCAACAACAGAGAAACTGTGTTTCTACTTGTGTTTGTTTTAAAAACTGTTTGATTATTTGTAGATTTCCCTGTGAACCGTCCACTCATGAAAATATATCCATACCCAGACTTGTATACTGAGGTTCATGACAGGTTTACTCATGAGTTCCAAACTGGAAGCAATACAAAAGTCTATCAGCAGATGACTGGTTAAACAAATTGTGCTACCTTTAAACAAGGGAATAGTACTCAGCAACGAAAAGGAATAACGTGAGCTATACATGCAACAGCACTGGGAAATCTCAAGATTATTATGTCAAGTAAGAAATACAGGCACACCAAAAAATATATCAATTATAGTTACACACATATAAAATTCTAGGAAAGATAAATCTCATCTATAAGGATAGAGAGCTGATCAGAGATTGGAATCTTCAATGGATATATGGAATCCACTGAGAAGAGACACAAGGTAATCTTTTGAGAAGATGTAAATATCTTTTGTATCTACTTGTGACAGTAGTTATATGGTTTTCTGTGTGTGTGTGTGTGTGTATGTGTCAAAAAATTATCTAATTGTACTCTTGAAATGGGTACATTTTATTGTATATAAATCATTCCTCAAGGTTGATTCAATATGTATTTCTAATTGCTCTCTAGAGGTTTATTGTGAATTCTGTTCACCACTTTCTTGATTTTTATGCCTTTGCTATCATGTATTTTAATCTTATATACTTTAAGATTCCCAACGCTGTATATAGTATAGCTACTTTTACAGCTAATGAGCATATAGACTTACCCAAATGGTTGATTTAGAGGATCTCCCTCCCTCCCTCCCTTCTTTCTTTCTTTCCTTCCTTCCCTTTTCTGGCTCCCTTTTATTTCTTTCTTCTTCCCGTGGTCCCTGTCCTCTCTGCGTCCTGTTCAGTAAAATATGGGTTGTTTGTCATTGCTTTTGATTCACATGTATTTCTGTCAAGTAATATGGGTTAAGTATGAACCCAATCCAGAACTTTAGAACCAAGGCCAGGTAGATGAATAAATGCAGACTCAAAGACTCTTTTCATACACTCTGTTGAATATTACAATATTGTAGAATGCATTTTTGCGTGTGATGCTTTATAATATGGTTATTTGCTTATATAGTTCTCCCCATTGAACATGATCTGTAAATTTTTACATTCTCAGTGTTTTAGTCAGCTTTTTTTTTTTTTTTTTTTTCTACTATGACTAAAGGATCTGACCAGAACAACTGTAGAGGAGGAGAAGTTTATTTAGGACTCACAGTTTCAGAGGTCTTAGTCCATAGAAGGCTGGCTCCATTCATCAGGGCTCCAGGTGAGGCTGAACATCATGGCAGGAGAGAGTGGTGGTGGGAAGCAGCTCCCATCACGGTGATCAGTGATCAGAAAGCAGGGAGACTTCACTACTCAGATACAAATATATGCACCAAAGTCACAGCCCAATTCCCACTTCCTCCAGCCACACCCCACCACTTCAGTTACCACTGGCTTAATCCCTAATAGAGGATTAAATCGCTGATTGGGTTAAGACTCTTACAATTCAATCATTTCTCCTCTGAACCTTCTTGTGCTGTCTCACACATGAGCCTTGGAGGCACCTCACATCTAAACCATAACACTGGTGTAACCAGTGTAGTTTCTATAAAATAACAGAATCTGAAAAAAAAATGATTTATTGAAATTCACCCTCTAGGAGTTGCCTACCCTCTGGATAATAAAGCAAACAAACAAACAAATGAAAACTCTAGACTTGGAAAAAACTTTGCAAAAGACCTAAAATGTTAACACAATCACACAGTATTACCATCCTGACGGTTATTCTTCAACTTACTGGCTTCCTATATTTTTAGAATGGGTTGCTCACTGTGAGTCAATATTTGACTCTAAAAGAGCCACCCTCCTGGCCAGGAATCAATTTTGGAGTGTTTACTGGATATTAACAAGACTGCCGTGGAAAAGTATACCACCTCTAGTGGCCATGGCTGTGCTTAGTGGGACAGTGTAGAACCCACCAACGAGGGGTGAACGCCTAACTGCCTTTGTCCTTCCATTCTTTCAATGTCCTCTCTGTAAGTTCCATTTGCTGAATCAGCTCTTGATGTTTTTAAGATTATTAAAAATTACCCCATCCAGGGACTGGGGTTGTGGCTCAGTGGTAGAGTGCTCACCTAGCACATGTAGGGCGCTGGACTCGATCCTCAGCACCACATAAAAATAAAGGTATTGTGTCCAACTACAAGTAAAACGAGATATTAAAAAAAAAAAATTACCCCACCCAACATTTTTAATTTTTTCCAGCTTAGAGGTCTCTCTCGCAAATCTGGACCATTATTACCAGGAATGATGTTGCCCATGTCCTCCAAAAGATGAAGAATGGACAGAAGGTGCGAAGAAGGACACAGAGGACAGAGTACATCCCACATCCACAAAACAAACAGCACCTTGTAGGCCCACTTCAGGGAAGTGGCAAAGAAACACGTTAATGTGAAAAGGTGACCAGGAGCGACCTGGCTCAGGTGAGGGAGATCCTGGAGAAGGATGACTCTGCCCTTGGACCTTCCTGGAATAAGCTTTACTTCTCTCACTCAATAAACCCCTGTGGGAAGATCAGTTGTAATTGCCGTTATTTTGTTTCCAAAGTTCCAGACCCTGTGACTCATTACTCAAGTCCTTTTCTCAGAGAATCAGAGCCAATGACAACAGCACTAAAATAATTTCCCTAGGGAAATTCCCCAGGAACCCTAGGTACACTCAGCCTTCTGACGTGTGTATCAATTAGCACTCCAGCAGAAATGTTATTCCAGTGAAACCTTTCTAGCATTCAAAATTGATTATTCATAAAAAAATCTAGATAGTTTCAAATGTTGCTTTAACTTGCATTCCAAGATTTTTTTAAACTTTGACCTGACCCATCTATGAACTATGTTAATTCCTGATCTATAGAATTTTATAAAACAGAGAAAGAACAATTTGGAAGGGTTATTTCTCTGTTTTTGCTCTAACCCTTGAATTTTTCTATTTAAAGGTACATAAAAAGATGACAAAATCTATAAAGTTGAGCTAACAGATCTAACTGACAAGTGTTATGTTTTAGATGTGGTGTCCCTCAAAAGCTCACATGGGAGGCAATGCAAGAAGGTTCAGAGGAGAAGCGACCATGTCCCAGCCTTAACCTAGTCAGTGAATTAATCCCTGATGGGATGAACTGGGTGGTAACTGGAGGCAGGTGGGGGGAGGATGGAGGAAGTGGTTCTTTGGGGGCGTGGCTATGGGGGTGTATGTTTTATATCTGGGAGTGGAGTTTCTCTCTCTGCTTGATCACCATGATGTGAGCTGCTTCCCTCTGCCACACACTCCGCCATGTTATTCAGCCACAACTTGAGCCAGCCTTCCATGGACTAAGACCTCTGAAATGGTCAGCCCCCAAATAAGCCTTTTCTCCTCTAGAATTGTGCTGGTTGGATCCTTCAGTCACAGGAGTGGAAACACTGACTAAAACAGGAAGTCACCAACTAGAACTGAACCCACAGGGTAAAGGAGGGGAATGACAGGAGGCAGTGAGGTCCTCACTGGTGTCTCGCCACCAGTTCAGCACAGTGCTGGACCGAGGTCTGAGGCCAGTGGACAGGGAGGCAGGTGGAAAGGACCCGGTGAGCAGAGAGCGCAAGTGCTCAATCCAGTGGCCATTCCAGAGACCATGGGGTGGCTTTCTAGAAGGTAAAAAACAAACAAACAAACAAAAAACACCTCAGTCATTAACTTACAGAAAGAAAAGGGTTATTTTGGCTCCAGTTCTGGAGGTCGACCCTGGTTAACCAGGTTGCTTGGGGTCAATAGGGGGATGTGACAGCAGGAGCAGAGGAACAACAAATCAAAGCTGTTCAACCCATGGCCAGGTCATGGGAGGAAGGAAGAAGGGGGCAAAGGTGCCATCAGCCTCTTAAAGGGAATTCCCCCAATGACCAGAAGACCTCACACTGGGCTTCAGTCCGTAAAGTTTCCACCGCCTCCCAGTAGCACCAAAGTGGGGACTAAACCTTGAACACATGGACTTTGGGGGACATTTAAGATTCAAATCACAGCAGATAGCTTAGTCTGTCATGACACTCATGTGGTTTGGGTGCTTCAAAGTTTGATTATCCCATGATGTGATGATCATACCCCATATGCAAGTTGAAAACTGTGGTTTTTGGTGTCCTCAAAACCAAATTTTGTTTATTTGTTTTTGGTCCTGGGGACTGAACCCAGGGGTGTTGTACCATTGAGCTATACCCCCAACCCTTTTTATTTTTATTTTTTTGAGACAGGGGCTCACTAAGCTGGCAAGTCTGGCCTCCAGCTTGAAATCTCCCTGCCTCAGCCTCCTGAGGCATTGGATTTACAGTTGTGAACCACCATATTCAGCTACAAAACCAATTTTTGAAATGTAATGCTTGTTTTATTTCATAGTAGGCCCCCAAAATGGAAACAACTCAAATGAAATACTTCCCAGTAATAAAAAAAGAACAAACCACTGTTACATTCAACAACATGGATAAGTTCACAGAAGTATGTTTAATGACAGGAACTGAAGACAAAAGAACGACACTCTATGATTCCATTTGATTGAATTTAAGAACAGGAAAAACTAATCTATGGAGGTAGAATTCAACTAATGACCACTTTGGGCAGAGGTTTATTTATTGAGTGGAGGCATAGGGGAACCCTCTGTAAATGTTCCATATTTTTGCCTGGGTGGTGGTTATGATCATATTAATTGGTAAAAATGTGTTGATCTGTGCACTTAAGATCTGGGCACTTGACAGTATGTATGTTAAACTACCACAACAAAAAAGATAAGAAAATAATTAGGTCAAGCCCAGCAGCAGATCCACCCACACTGGCCTCTGCAGGGCCCAGGCACACAGTAGGCCAGGTCCACCCCTTTCTTGGTGGGGCAGACACTTGCCAGAGCCTAGCCTCTAGTGCAGGACCATCCCTTCTGACCAGTGCACTACCCCAAGAGCAAGATCCAGACCAGATGGCTCACAACAGCCCACCCGGGATCTAGGATTTCAGTAGGCTAGGTCCACTCCTCCCCTGGCAGGGCAGACACTACCAGAGCCTAGCCTTTGGCACAGGACTGCCCCTTCCGACCAGCAGACTACCACAGGAGGTCAAGCCCAGCAGCCCAGATCCACCCACTCCACCTTATGCAGGTCCCAGACCCAGGATGCAGTAGTGTCTATTGAGGGACACCAGCAGGGTCTGGAAGCCCAACATCAAGCCCAACATCTGCACAGGTACTACAAGAATATAGGGGAGAAACTGTAATATCTCAGATCCACACTGCAAGAAAGGAAGACACATAGACAATGTGAAAAAACAAGGGAGGAAAATGCCCCAAACAAACCAGGACATTATAATAACAACCCATGGAGAGCAAAGTCGGTGAAATGTCAGAGAAGGAGTTCAGAAGGTTCATAATTAAATGATCTGTGAATTAAAGAATGACCTAAATGGGCAAACACAAGCAAAAATTGATCACTCCAACAATGAGATAAGGGAGCAAATACAGTAGCAAAAGATACTTCAAGAGAGAGAGAGACCCTGAAAAAAAGCAGTCAGAAATCCTTGAAATGAAGGATACAATAAATCAAATACAAAACTCAATAGAAAGCATAACCAACAGACTAGATCACTTGGAAAAAAAGAACGTCAGATAATGAAGACAAAGTATACAATCTGGAAAACAAAGTTGATCACACTGTGAAGAAAGATAGAAACCATGAACAGAATATCCAAGAATTATGGGACAGCATCAAAAGACCAAATCTAAGAGTTATTGGGATAGAGGAAGGCACAGAGTTTCAAACCAAAGGAATGCACAATCTCTTCAATGAGATAATATCAGAAAATTTCCCAAGCATGAAGAATGAATTAGAAAACCAAATACAAGAGGCTTACAGGACACAAAATTTCAAAATTTCAACAGATCTACACCAAGACACATTATAATGAAAATGCCTAGCATACAGAATAAGGAGAGAATCTTAAAAGCCATAAGAGAGAGGAATCAGATCACATATAAGGGGAGACCAATTCATATCTCCCCAGATTTTTCAACCCAGAACCTCACAGCCAGGAGATCGTGGAATATACCAAGCTCTGAAAGAAAATGGATGCCAACCAAGAATCTTATATCCAGCAAAACTAAGCTTTAGATTTGATGATGAAATAAAAACCTTCCATGATAAACAAAAGTTATTAGAGACCCAGAATAGCTAAAGAAATCCTTAGCAGGAA